TTACATCTATTGATTTTTTCTTTGTAAAATTTATCTAAAAATTTTAGAAATAAAGAATTAAATAATATTTCTAATAAATATTATTAAGATATTAAATAAGTTTTTAATAAAATACATATATAAATATACAATTAAATCGATAATCAAATATATATTCTTTATATATATTAGGGCTAAGGCGCAACATCTAAAACTTTACTTTTACTCAAACTTGATTTGTAAAAAATAAAAAAAAACCAAAAACAAAACAACTTAATTATCTTAAATTAAAAGAAAACACACCAATTGGATCAAAACGAATTAAAATCCATCAAATACAGATGATTTTATTATTTTTATCACAATTGACATTTTTATTACAAAATTTATCAAAATTAAAAAACAAAAGTAAAAATATTTTAAAAAGGAAACAAAAATATCAAAAGCTTTTAAAAATCAAAGAAATGAAAAAAAAGAAAAAAAAAAAGAGGTTTCACATGAACACCCGAGAACGGGTGGAATACCATTAATCTATTTTTAATATGACTCCATTTTCAAAAATAAAATCTTGACCCAATCTCAATTTTGTAAAAACGAACCTATATTAGTCTAGTGCAAATAAAAACTAATAAGATACAGATTGTTCTATCATCCATACCATTAATATTTTTTACAAAGTTCATCTAATAAACAAAATAAATTAAAAAAAAAAACAAAAAAAATTAAAAATCAAATTTTTGAAAGAAAGATGGAGTGTCACATGGTTACTATCTCCTTCCAAAATCAACTTTAATATTATAGATATATGGATGAATAATAAAATATATATTTTATATATATCCAAAATAAGGTGAGACATCTTAAATTCACTTCCGATTTAATCTTAATTTAAAAAAATATATCTTAATTTGGTCTCGAATTTTTAAAAATGCATTTATTGAATTGGGATGAATCACAATTTATACGGATTGTTTATTATTACCTTCATTTTTTTTATAAAATATATCTAATTAAAGTATGAATAATAAAAAATTAAATTATAAACAAAAAAAAAAAAACAACCAATTAGACAATAAAAATATAAATATAAATAAAAAAGCCATGTAAACACCTTCTCATGCTCAAAATTCTACAAAATTAATATTATGGATTACTGTACTACACCATTCTTCTTGGACACAGGATATTTGTCGGGAGTGTTGTGAATGATTGGGCTCCCTGGCCAATGAGAATGAAAGTTTGAATCGTCACTAAGGACGTGATTATGGCAAAGTTAAACAGTTAATAAATGTTGTTTCCTTGCCTATTTTTTCCTCCTTTCTTCTCGTGTATATATATATATATTCCATCCAATTAAAATTTTCTTTCTCTAATTCCACCATATAAAGGAATAATATAGATAAAATGAGAAAAAAAAAACTCATGAATTAAAATTCAATAATCATCGAATCTTTATCATGTTTTGTAATCAATTAAATTTTTAAATATTTATTTTTTATTGAGCCTTTATTAAAAAAAATAATTAATTATTTTTGTTTAATTAAAAGTTTAATTGAATAAAAATAAATATTTAAAAGTCAATTAATTTAAAATAAAAGATTCATGATTTAATTATTTATAATAAAATATTAATAATTAAATAATTATTAAATTTTTATTTGAGCGAGCCAACAATATCTGGAATCAAAAGCAAGAGTAAAATTATCCTACTATATAGCTTTGCAAGGGGAAATTAGATCTTCAAAAAGGATTGGCCTACATTCCTCAACTGATGTTACATCATACCAAATCTCTTTTAAGAATGCACGCACAAAGAGAAGACCACTCTCACAAAAGACAAGAAAAGAATGGCTGAAACTAAAAGGGATTGCTTTAGACTTAAATGTATTAGAAAGAAAATGAACTTCTTCGCTTCATCTCACATTGACCTTAACCTCTATTGCTGATAGTTGGCTATCAGCAAAATAAATTAAATTAAACTAAAAAACTAAATAAAAAAGTTAAAGGTCAAAAAATAAATTTAACAAAAACAAAAAAATAAAAATAAAAAGTAGATTTTTGAAAAAATGACTGGATACCACATGGACACCGCTTCTTTTCTTTAAAATCTAATATTTATTATATTACAGGATACAAAATTATCAATATGATGTATTAACATAGATGTCTGTGTGGAAAGTCTCTTTTTATGACACGTTGGATAATGTTTATATTATATTATTTATCGAATAATTCTATTTAATAAATTAGTTAAATTTAATATGTTTGGATAATTATTTAAATTTAAATCAAAATCTATAAAAATATTAAAAATTTTACATAAAATTTAAATTCAAATATATTAAAATATAAATTACCTTTCTTTTTTAATTTAATTATAATTTCAATATATATAGGCTTACTAAATTTTTATAAGATGTAAAATAATTTTATTTAATAAATTATATAAATTTAATATTTTTGGATAACTATTCAAATCAAATTCTATCAAAGATTGAAAATTTTACATAAATTTTAAATTTAAATATATTAAATCATAATCTATCTTTCCTTTTCAAATTTAATTATAGCTCTACATATTATATATACACACACACACACATATGTATATATGTGTGCATAAGCTTAATAAAATTTTATTTTGCTGAAATCCAAATCTCAAAATAAAAATAAAGTGCTCATAGAATGAGAGCTTCACCCCTAATCAATGTTATTTTATTTGTTATTATTAGAACTAGAAATTAAAGAACACAATCTATTTTTATTTGATGATTATATTTATGGGTTTTGATAGAAATGGGTAAAAGTTAGAAAGAATAATAACCACATCATACTCATAAACAAGTAAATTCATTTTATGCATTTATTATTCTTTTATTTCTTTCATTTTTATATTTAGTTTTAAAAATAAATTTGTAATAGTGTTTGATTTTTTTTGTTTTTATAATATTGATTTTGGTTTTTTCTTTAGACTTCGATAATGAAAAGAAAATGAGCACACATATGGATTGGTTTCAACCAGGTAATAGGTATAGTTCATTACTTTTTTTCACATTTTATTTCTTTTTTCAATTTTTCCTCTATTTGTTTATTTCTTCAAACCTTTTATTTGATATTATTTGCATTATATTATATATATTTATTTATTTGATTTATTCTAAAAAAAATTCGTTTATATATTTTTATATATATTTAGTTAAACTGAATATTTGCTATATAAAAGTACAAGAAATTTAAATTATATATACATTCTCAATTTGTATATTTGATTTATTTTCTAACAAAAAAACAATTATGTATGTTAAAGTATATATGTAAAAAAAAAAAAAAAAAAGAGCTAATAAAAAGTATATGATTATAACCAAATTAATAATTTTCCTTTGTAGTTCAATCAAATATATACATAAAAGAAAGTATTATTATTATTATTATTTGGTGTTTTGCTTTTTTTTTTTTTGTTTAGCTTTATAAGATTTAGTAGTTTAAGAATATTATGCTAATATAAATATCTTTCATAATTTAATCAAATGATATATTTTTTATATATCCATACCAAAATATAAATAATTTTTAATCTTGACTATTTTCTTTTTAATAGGCCAAAGTAAACTTTTATTGAAAGTAACAAAATTGTTACAAATACCAAGCACAATTAAGAGTATAATTGAGTACATAAAGAATATAAGCCCTAAAGAAATTGTACCAATATTACGTAGGGAATCCAAAAGCATGGATAACAACATTCCTAACAATCAAAAGAACATATTAACCAACCATAAAAATCTTGATTATTTAAAACTGAACTTTATTTTTTTGAACAAAAAAAAATGAGTAGCAAAAATTTTATTGTTTAGTAAATGAATTGAAAAAAATAATTTTTTATGAAAAAAAAGATTTTTATAATTCTTTGTAATTTTACAAAGACTTTGACTTTGAAAGAATATTAAAATATGTATAAATTTATATTTAGTTGTATATTAATCTTTATGAATGTATACATAAAAAATCAATAAAAATTTGCATATTCTTATATTAAAGTAATACAAAACATTAAGGTTAATAAAAAAAAACAATTTTAAATTATGAAAGATAAGAAAAATTTCCATGCATAGCACAAGTTAAAAAATTAGTTAACTTTAATATTATAGAAAAATGAATGAATAAATAATAAAATATATATTTTATATATACCTAGAATAATGTGAAAAATCTTAATCTCACTTTTTATCCAATCTCGATTTTAAAATATATATCAATTGAAACTCGAATTTAAAAAAAACACATTCATTAGATTATGGTGAATTAAAACTTATACGAATTGTTTTGTTATTAACTTCATTAATTTTTTTTTTACAAAATATATCTAATTAAAAAATTAAAGTTAATTAAATAAAAGAACAGTAAAAAAGGTTAAAAAAATCCAAAAATTTAAAAATAAAGGATGGATAATAAAAAAAATTAAATTAAAAAAAACAAATAATAAAACCTCCCCAAAATTAATATTTTGGATTACTGGACTAACCCATTCCTCTTGGACACGATATTTTTCGGAAGTGTTATGATTATTGAGCTACTTGGTCAATGAAAATGAAAATTTGAATCGACACTAGAGATGTGATCATGACAAAGCTAAACAGTGAATGAATGTTGTTTCCTTGTCTAGTTTTTTCTCCTTCTTCCCATTTATGTATATTCCTTCCATTTAGAATTTTCTGGTTTAATTCCACCATATAAAGGAATAATATACGTAAAATGGTAAAAAAAAAAAAAACCCATAAATTAAAATTTACTAATCATTCAAATCCTTATTTTTTTAATCAATTAAACGCTTAAATATCTCCTTTTTTTCAATTGAGCCTTATTTAAAAAAATGATTAACTATTTTTGTTTAATCAAAAGCTTAAATTGATGAAAAATATATAAAAATTTAATTGAGTGAAAACACATACTTAAAGATTTATATTCATGATTTAATTGATTATAATAAAATATTAAAAACTTAAATGATTATTAAATTTTTGTTTGAAAATTTTTTAAAACCTTATGCCAATAATATATATGGAATAAGAGGAGTGAGTAAAATTAATATGGCTATGGCTTTACAATGGGAAATTAGATCTGCAAAAAGGATTGGCCTACATTCCACAACTGATGTCACACCACACTAAATCTCTTTTAAGAAAGCACTGAGAAAATGAACTTCTTCACTTCATTTCTCATTCCCTTTAACCTTGACCTCAATTGCTTATTGTTAGCTATCATCTCTAATATGTATGTGATCTAAGCTAATGTTCAGTTGAAATTAATTTTATACACTTAATAGGTCATTTTAGAACTTGAAATTCGAAATCTTCAAACAAAAAAAAAAAAAACCTGGAAACTTGAAATGATTCATTCATTCATTCAAATTTCGAGGATTTTAATGTAATTGTCGAGAAAACGAAGTAAACATCTTTGCTTGGGACACAAAAGGTGGGATGAAATATTACATGAAACAAAACAAACTTCAGCAGAGGAAAAATTCTACACTTCAACAGCAAATAGGATAGGAAAAGTGCTTGGGAACTTACCTTGGCTTACATCCCGTCTTCATGGATTATATTGAAGATCTCCAAGATCTTCACCTTGGCCCAGATAAGATTGACGGTAAAGCTGTTGAAGCAAAAGTCTCCACAGCTTCAGGTGCTGTCAATTCGTTTAGAAATTCGCCGTCCAAGGTACCAACAAAATCAACTGAACCCTCAAAAATCTTCACCACTGTGGACATGGGAGGCCTCCTGGCATGTTCATTTTGTAAACACCATGTAGCAACCTTCATCATCTCCATGACTTCAGCTGCATTTGCTTGCATATCTTCGCTGCACTTATCCACAAGATCCATAAGCTGCCCTTCTTCTTGCTTTCTCCTGAAAAGACTCAGTAAATGCCTTTCTTCCTCCTGTTGAGATCCATCCACATTTTTTCGCCCGCACAGAATCTCTAGGACCACAATACCGAAGCTATAGACATCTGCTTTCTCTGTGATGACTGAGCTTAACCATTCAGGAGCCATAAACCAGGCGTTCCCCTCATAGTTGTTATGACTTCGCTTTGGTCTCTTCCAATTAGCTTAGATAATCCAAAATCGGAAACTTTGGCATTGAAATTCTCATCTAAAAGGATGTTTTGTGGCTTGATGTCTAAGTGAATTATCTTTTGGTTGCATTCTTCATGAAGATAAGCTAGTCCCTTAGCTATATCTAAAATGATTTTCTTTCTAGTTTTCCAACCAAGAGCAAGCTCGTGATTTTTGTGGAAGATCCATTGATCCAGTGACCCGTTACTCATGTACTCGTAGACTAAAAGCCTAGCAGATTTTTCAGCACAAAATCCAACCAAACTCACCAAATTGAAATGGTGAATACTTCCTATAGTCTGAACTTCTGCTATGAAAGATTTCTTGACTGAACCACAGCCATCAAGATACTTCACTGCAACTTCAGAACCCGAACGTAATGTTCCTTGAAAAACGGACCCAAATCCTCCTTCACCGAGTTTGTTGCTAAAATTCTTCGTGACATTCTTCAACTCTTCAGAAGAAAATCTAGTTGGCATTCCCGATATATTATCCAGAAAATCCTCCTCAACTTCTTTAAACCCTTTTTTAATTCTTATAAAATAGAAAGTGCATATAAGAAACACGACAGAGATACCTCCAAGAGTTGAGCCCAGAATAATTGCCAATCGTGGTGAAAGATTGTTGTTAGGATTCTGTGCACTTGGAAAATTCTGCACCTTTATAAAAACAGAGGTGTTGTAAGAATCATAATTACTAGGATCATACATCTTGAGGGACAATACTTCAGATAGAATATAGCAGTAACCATATATATGTATCACAGCTTTGCAAGAACAGTTCTTTAAACAGACTTCCTTACAATCTTCTATACTCTTGATAGTATCATTACTGATGGGAATACTGAGATATCTGAATGGTACATAATCGATGTCCTGGAGCTTGAGAAAACTCTGATGGAGAGAAAGCTCACAAGAAATTGGTAAAATTGCAGAACAACCAAGATCCAGTGCTGTAGAATTTTTTCGCGTAAAATAAGTTGCTTGGTTTTGAGTTGGAAAATCAGGGCAACTGCATCTCCCTTCTACACAAACGCTATATTTTCCACATGCCAGTGGATAACTACATCGACTAATTCGGAATAGATCAATCCCCTCCCATTTCGAATTTCTCCATTGAAATGCCTTCAAGTAACCGTCACTCCCCAACTGTATAAAATTAGCCGAGTCTGGCACGGAGAGATTCCCAAACATTGCCGTCTGAAATTCAGCGTAAAATAGCCCTGAATTGCTTTCTTCCAAATAAAGCGATCTGTAATACATTGGGGAAGGATATACATCCATGTAAGCAGTGAATCGACCATCGATGAGTGCAAATGCATACAAACCTTCACTTGAATTGAATTGCGATACATTTGCCCTCAACTTCTGCCCGGACACTAGCCTTTGACCAAGAACTAAAGAGTCTGTTGGGTGGTCAAATGACTGCCAAACCATCTTGCTGGTTTTGTCAAACAGCATGAGGTTTCCCTCTGCACTTAAGTTTAAACTTGAAACAGACTTGCCTGTGTTCGGGGACCAAACCACAACATCGCCATCTTTCAAGACAAGACTACCTTCTGGAGTGAGCTGCAATAGTGCCTGATACTTAACTGGATTGTTTCGATTAGCGGACCACACAACTTGAGGAGAAAAGCTGGAAATACTACTACCAGAATTGTTGTTGAAGATGGAAACAGCAAATAGGCAACTCTCACCTACAAAGCTGCAGTGAAAGCCACAGACAAACATCCCATTGACAAGGATCGGCTTCACACCGGCTTTCTCCCAGAAATTTAAGTCAGATAAGACGGCGTTCCAGGAATTCGGGGCATTGATAAATGATGGGAAGTCTACGATTTCAGCGTTGATCAAAAGTGATGATCGAATGATCAATAGAATCCAAAATGTGTTCAGAAAGTAGCTACAGGTATTCATATTCATGGACATTGTTCTGGGACGGCAAATGGAGTTGCAGGGAAGAGTAAATTAGCTGCAAGAACGGCGTCAAGCTTGACTAAACTAAACTAAACAATACAATTCATGCTATCATATTTCTTAAGAAAGCACCTAGAAAGAGAACAAAAGTTTGACTAACTACCAACTAATTTTGGTTGGAAAATTCATAGAAATGATAAGAATGATATTACTATCTTCATTAATTTTCGACAGAGGACAATTGGAAAGAAAGGAAAATGACATTGATCAGCAAAACGTGTTCATTGTGTTGAAAGAAAAATCCCTTTTACTGGTCAATGGCGTATGCATCTAGCAAAGAGACATCAGGATGAAGCGTGGCAAGTACTAAAAACTTTGGTCGGGTCAACCACTGTAAGCATTAATACTCAGACGGGATAAAAGTGAACTCAATCAATCCATTAAGGTAGGTTCTAATCACTAATAAAAGTGAGCAGTCTGTCCATTAAGGAAGGTTCTAAGCACTAATAAAATTGAACTCAGTCATCGGTTCATAAATTATATAACTTGTCATAAATATATATCTAAAAATTTTTTAAAAAATTACATTTAAGTTTTCTAAAAAAATTAATTTAAAAAAATCTTATATGTAAATTCAAAAATTAATTTTGATTAAAAAACTTTTAAAAATTTCGAGATTTGTATCCATAAGCTTTCAATTCATAAGTTTAAAAGTGAAAGGAGTACTAAAAGAAAAAAAAGTAATTAAAAAATTTTATTTAAAAATAATTTTTTTAAAAAAAATGTGAATAGTAAAACATGAAATGCCAATAGTATTACCGGTTCATAAATTTGAGACAATTGTTACCTACTTTACATAAAAATAGGTCATAATTCCAACATAAAACGGTAACATTATGATTGATCTTTCTATAACGTGAAATTGAAACATAGTTCTCCATAGCTGTTAAAGGATGTGAAAATGGTTAACAAAAGAGCAACCTCCTCCTATGAAGAACTAAATTATCATGTCTATCACCAGATGCATAAAGGAATCCATCTAAATCATAGACTCAAAACAGAGTCTTGAAGATTACTATAAAAAGGGACCAAAAAAGGGTAAAAAAGAAAAAAAATTTTGTTTAAGATCAAAGTGAACTGAGGTAATCTTTTATCAAACTGAAGAGTGGGGTAGCATTAGAAAATCCCTCCAATCTCTGGAACATGATTCCATCCATCCGGGCCTGAATACCATCGGAAAACGTCAACTCTTGCAGCAGTTCTTTTAGTGTTCTGTCTACTCCAACTATGGAGTTTCCTATGTCACTTAAGAGTTCTGGTAGTGTTGGAGAAGGTCTCGACAACTCAACAAGTGTAACCTAATCCATTGTATCACATACATCAATATCTGAGAAAGCATAATTTTCCAAAATGATACATGATGTACAATTAATTTTGGATGAAGAATAAAAATCTGTCATTGACATGAGCAAGACAAAAAAAGACACTTAATCCCATATATAAGCATAGGTTGTCCACAAAGCATTGAGAGCATAAGTTTCAACATGATGCGAGTCATAATGTATTATGGATGCAGAATACCATAAATGTGTCTTTCTATTATAGCACAGGATGCAGTTCTATCATATATAATTTTGTATCAAACCTCAATGGATATACAGTTGCCTAGAAACAAATTTCCAAATTTGTAAGCGAAACTTTTATAAATGTCAAGTGTCATCAAATTATAGGGTTCACCAACGATTTTGGAGTACTGCTTTTTGCAAATGATATGATAAACAATAGTAATACCCATCCTAGGAAAAAGTGTCTTAAAATGAAGAGTAAACAACTAACCTGCCTGTCTCGGGGTATATTTGCCTTATGTTTTGCAATAGCAATAGCCCGAGAAAGTCCCCCAATAGCATCAACCAAACCCCATGAAGCTGCATCTTTACCTGCCCATACTCTGCCTTGTGCAACCTCTTCCATCTTTTCTACCTGTTGAATGATTTAAATTCAGAGGATTTTTAAAGGATTTTTGTTTCTTTTCCCCTTTTCCCTTTTAAAAGTAGGATAAAGAGGAAACTTGGCATTACATCTAAAACTGGAGATAAAAAGAAGATAAAACATACAGGCATTGATCTCGAAAAAGCTGCCTTGTCTCGAAATTGCTCATAAGCATTCTGCGCAGACTTTGCAAAAAGCTCGGCTTCATCCGGTCTAGTATATATTAAAGTTAGTTCTCTTCTAGTCTATTAAAAAGAGAACCCAAACAAAAAAGCAGCTTTTTTGTGTGATCCAAAACCCCCAAAAAAGAGAAGACCAGCAGGAAATAGGACAAAGAATAATTAATTGGTAAGGGCCAAAACTTGGCTTTTCAATCAAATATCAAATAATTAATAGGTAATCTTGATATCTTTTCACTTTCTATCTAATCAAAATATACAACCAAGGCATTCACCTTAAAGGCCGCTGCTCAGCTGCAAAAAGTTCAGCATATCTTCCCCTTGATATGACCTCCTTATTGAAGCCAATTTTTTCATATAATTTCCCCAAGTTAAACTTCCCTGCAAGCAAGAGAAAAGGGAAAATCAAAATCAAATCAGTTTTATGACTTGCAAAAATCCAAAAGGCTTATGTCGGAAGACAACATCTTTGGTTTTCAGCAACAAAAGCAATTAGTTCATAAAAACAAGGAAAAGGGCAATATGATCTAGAACAACATTTTTCTATCATCTTTCTTTTTATTTTGTTAATTAGAAACGCATGATGAAGTTAGCAGCATAAAAAGGGATAAATTCCTCCATGTGAGTATTTTGATGTACAATGACAAGAAATATAGATATTGAATTATTCATCCAAATCTTCAAGATGACTGCCACTAATCTATGAATGAATTCAAGCAATTAGTTTGCACGTTTTATTGTTGAAGAAGCATTGTATTAGCATCACAATTAAACTTTAATTTCACAAGGACATTCAATGACAAGAAAAAGGTAACAACAAGAATACAAAAGCGGTAACCATGTACAAAATGAGACATAAGGATAACATCATTTCAAGTCTCAGATATCCCCAACTCGTGAACTGGTTTGAGGCTTGTATATTTTAGTTTTGGAGCACAAACTTGTGGGAAAACACTTATTCATAGTTAGTTGTAATCTTGTAATCTGTATATTTATATTTGTATCTCTAAAATTAAATATTTGTATCCCTAGAATTAATGACAAAAAATTAGGATAGACAATCCCTCAATTATAGGATCAGTTTTAGGAAGATTTAGTTTCTTAATTTACCCACTAGTTAGTTATATATAAACCCAAGGTGCTTATATAATTCTTTATGAATAGTTTTCTAATACACATTCAGTTTTATTCTTACACTATGTTTAGATTGAGGGGAGGGGAAAGAAAGGAAAGTGAAATAAAGGAAAGTAATGGAAACAGAATAACCCTTCCTTTGTTTGGATAAACTTTTAATTTAAAGGAAAGGAAAGAGATGGAAACTCAATAACCTTCGGTTTCTCTTGTAATCTTCATTTTTTTTAATAACTCAATTTGGGGGAAAAGTTAAGAAAAGGAAAGTTGAAAAAATTATATATTTATAAAAAGACTATTACATTCATATTTTTATTATGACATTATATTTGATTATGTAACTGACACTTCCTGCAAAAATAATTTTTTTTTATGAGTATTTTATATAACATCATAGTTTATAAATATTTTATAAGTTTCTAAGCCTTAACAACTAAACAAGCGAAGTTATTATCAAAATGAATTAAAAAGTTGAATTAAACACAAAATTAAGAGTAAATTAATAATTAGCTAATACATCTTACCGTATTAAATATGCTCAATTTTGTTTAAAAAGATTTGTTTATACAAGCTAGGTAGCATAAAGATATATTTGAATATTATATGTTACTTTATTTAAAAATATATAATTGAAAAAAAAATTATAATGAATTATTTCCTTTCCTTTTCAGTATTTATCCAAACAATGGTCGTTAGAATTCATTTTCTTTCTTTTCCTTTATTAATTTTAACTATCCAAACAAGAGGTACATGTACCTTTCTTTTCCTTTAAAAAAATTTCCATTCCTTTCTTTTCCTTTATTAATATCTATCCAAACATAGTGTTAGTTTTGCACACAATTTTATTTCTTAGTTTTTCCATATGGTATAAAAGCTTTAGGTTTTTCTTGGGAAAAAATTTTTTTTAGCCTTCATTGCTATTTCTATTTCAAGCTTTCATAGCCAAATCTTATTAAATCTTTCACTCTTATTTTTTCCTTCTTTGGCCTTCATTGCCTAGAATCGTCTTTGGTTAAACCTTTACTATTAAGACTCATTTCAGTCCTAAAAAATATAACCACACCATAGCAGAATCTACCACTACTACCCAATTTGAAGATATGACAACTAGTGAAAGCACTGGAGTACTACAGAAGTCTCAAGAACAAAAAGAGTTAGATAAAAAAGAGATTGAGAAACTAAGAAGTCTATTGAAAACTCTTGAAAAGCCTACTGGGGTATATTCTTTAGGTAAGGTCTCTAGTTCAGGTAAAGCTTCTGGTTCTCATGGATTAAATGTCTTAGTTAAGCTTATTACAAGTTCTTCAGTCATTGACTCAGTAGCCATAAACTATATAACACATTCTTACAAAAGTATCGTACATATACCCTGTGTCCTAGTATTAAGAAAATTGTTGTTGCTAATGGTTCACTTACTACGGTGGTAGGATTAGGAAACGTTCAAATTAATTCCTCGTCTGTTCTTTAAAATGTTCTTCATATTCTTGAATTGTCTACTAATATAATATTTATACAAAAATTTACCAGAGACATGAATTGCAAAGTGACCTTTTATCTCTCCTATTGTGAATTCTAGGACCAAAGTTTGGAGAAAATGATTGAACTTGCTAAAGAGAAAGATGGACTATACTTTCTTGAGACATCAAACAACACAGGTAATATCAAGAATACTTTACTTTTGTCATTTCTTTCTGAAAAATCTCCTAATAAAGACAAAATCCAGCTTTATCATTTTTGTCTTGGACATGCTTCTTTTGAAACTTTGAAAAACATGTTTCCTTCTTTGTTCAAAGGATTACATGCCAAAAATTTTCATTGTGATGTTTGTGAACTTGTAATGCATAGATGTGTGTCTTTTCCAGTTGGCAATAAAAGAAGTTTTACTCCTTTTTACTTGATTCATAGTGACATATAAGTTCCCTCCATAATTCCTAATATTTTCGGTGCAAGGTGATTTGTTTCTTTAATAGATGATTGTAGTAGGATCTCTTGGATATTTTTATTTAAATCTAAATCAAATGTGAATAGTGTGCTTTTAAGATTCCAAAACATGATCCAAAATCAATTTGGGGTGAAAATCAAGAGATTTATGTCTAATAATGCAAGTGACTATTTCAACCAGAGTTTATCTACCTATTTCCAAAAGGAGGGGATTATCCATGATTTATCTTGTGTTAATACTCCATAGTAGAATGAAATGGCAGAGAAAAAAAAAACCATTTACTAGCCACAACCCAAGCTTTACTTTTTCTAGTAAACATACCCAATTCCTACTAAGGGAATCTATTCTCACTGTCACACACATTATAAATAAGTTACCTTCAAGAGTTTGGGGATTTAAAACTCCTATGGAACTACTCTCACAATTCTATCCCAACTTTAATACCATAAGCAACTTCACACCTAGGATATTTGGTTGTACATCATTTGTTCATGTTCACAATGATAATAGAAGGAAGTTAGATAGAGCAATTAAGTGCATTTTTGTGGGGTATTCATTAACTCAGAAAGGGTAAGTTTTATCATCCTCCTACCAAAACACTCTATTTGTCTGCAAATGTCACTTTTGAAGAAAGTAAACCATTTTTTACTCAACTTTATCTTCATTGAGAGACTTCATTCATGAAAGATAAGGATAAAGACTTCTTTTTGCTTGACTTGTCTTCTTTTTCAACATTTTCACCCACTAATTTTTTGGAGTCTAAACTTGTTCGTTCTGAGTCCAAGTCAAACAATAAATTTGAGTCTGAACCCATTCCAAACACAAAAGATGTGACAAAGGATAATATTGTTCTTGATTATATGAAGCAATTACAGGTGTAATCAAGAAGGAAAGTTCCAGATCCTAAACCAGTGCAAGTCCAAGAATATGATTCTAACTCTGAAAATGAGGTAACTACAGTCTGACTCTATTTTTTCAAAATGAGCATGAATCTCCTAAAACTATAACTAGTGATTATGACCTCCCTATTGCCATTAGGAAAGGACCAGAGAATGTACTAAGCATCCACTATACCCAATCTCTAATTTTGTGATATTTGAAAAATTCTCACCATCCCACAAAAATTTCCTTGCGAGCCTAAACACTATTTCTATTTCAACTACATTATCCAAGGCATTATCCAGTGAGAAATGAAGGCAAGCCATGAATATACAAATGGAGGCTTTAGAGAAAAAAAAAGACAGTATCGCATTTCGCTATGTTCTTCATCAGTGCGAGAGCCGAGATATCCGTTGCCGAGAGTCGTTTTGGTTTTTCATGACAAAAGGAGTCACGGCACCGCCCGCGCACGCATCGTGAACAGGATGGGAACTGGTAGAGTTACCTAAAAGAAAAAAATTCAGTTGAGTGTAAATAAGTTTTCACTGTAAAATATAAGGCGGATGGTACTTTTGAAATGTATAAAGCGAGGTTGGTGGCTAAGGGCTAAATTCAAACTTATGGAGTGGATTATCAAGAAACTTTTGCTCCAACTGCCAAGATGAATACAGTTAGGATTTGGTTATCATTGGCTGTAAATTACAATTGGTAGCTTCAACAATTTGATGTAAAGAATGCTTTTCTGCATGACGATTTGGAAGAAGAAATATATATGAAGGTTCGACCGAGATGTGGAGGTTATCCAAAAGCAAACAAAGTATGCAAGCTGAAAAAGGCTTTATATGACCTTAAACAATCTTCTAAGGCTTGGTTTGGGAGATTTACAAAAGTGATGCTAGCAATGGGATATAAATAGAGTCAAGGAGATCAGACATTATTTATCAAACACTCTAATTTTGGGTGAGTTATTAATGTATGTTGATGACATAATTGTAATCAGAGATGATGAAAAAGTGAGAGCATCTCTTAAATAGTGTTTGGCAAGACAATTTGAGATAAATAAGCTAAGGAGATTGAAGTACTTCCTAGGAATTGAAGTGGGTCACTCACCGCATGGTATTTTCATCTCACAATAGAAATATGTGATGGATCATTTGAAGGAATCCAGGAAGCTCGCATATAAACCTACAAATACCCTTATAGATCCTAATCATAAACTTAGAAAAGCTAATGAAGATGCTACTATAGATAGAGAGATGTACCAGAGATTAGTTGGAATACTCATTTATCTCTCACCTACTAGACCTAATTTAGCATATGCGATGAGTGTGATAAGTCAATTTATGCATAGTCCTAAAGAAGTGCACCTACAAGCTATCTACCGTGTATTGCACTATTTGAAGACCAATTCTAAGAGAGGTATTTTATTCAAAAGAAATTTGGGGCTAGTTCTAGAGGCATATATAGATGCGGATTATGCAGGTTCAGTAACTGATGGAAGATTCACCTCAGGCTATTGCACTTTCCTAGGTAGTAATCTTGTGACTTGGTGTAAAAAACAGAATGTGGTGGTAAGATCAAGTGTTGAAGCAGAGTTTAGAGCAATGACTCAAGGAATTTGTGAACTACTATGGTTAAAGATTATCCTAGAAGACTTGAAGATCAAGTGGGATGGACAAATGAGACTCTATTGTGATAACAAGTATGCAATAAGCATTGCAAACAATCCTGTGCAACATGACAAAACAAAACACATTGAAGTAGACAGGCATTTCATAAAGGAGAAACAAAACAGTGGATTGATTTGTACACTGTATGTATCAACCAAGGGTTAACTTGCAGATGTGTTAACTAAAGGTCTCAACAATGCAACATTTGAAGAAATTATTTTCAAATTGGGAATGAAAAACACATATTCACCAACTTGAAGGAGAGTGTGAAAAAATACTTATTTATAACTGGTTGTAATTTTGTAATCTGTATGTTTATATTTGTATCTCTATAATTAAGTATTTGTATCATTAGAATTAATGGTAAAATATTAGGATAGACAATCCCTCAATTATAGAATCAATTTTAGGAAAATTTAGTTTCCTAATTTACCCACAATTAGTTGTATATAAACCTAAGGTGCTTGTATAATTCTTTATGAGCAATTTTTCAATATTCATTCAATTTTACTCTTAGTTTTCCATACAGATTTATTTCTTACTTTTTCCACAAAACTCAATGCAAAAACATTTGATTTTCAAGGTTTTTGAAAAAGTTTTAAAACTTGTTACAAGTTTCAGATAATGAGGACCCATGAACAGTTCATATCCTATTGCATTTGTAGTTTATGCATTGGCATTTTTCTATCTGGTCAACCAACTTCAATCTCTTTATTTTACAGCCATTCAAAATCCATGCTTATCAAATTTCAGAGAGTTTGTTCACCTGTGACAACTCCAATTGAACCAGTTAAAGTCAAATTTTCGGCAACGATAGTCTGAGCTGCCATAGCCATATAATATCCCCCACTAGCTGCCACATCAGACATGGATGCTATGACTGGCTTTGATGCAGCCAAAAGCCTGATTTCCCTCCACATTCTGGATATTTTTAAACATCAGCTATAGTTAGAAAATGGATCACAGTAGATTTTCTTTTTCACATTCCATTCTGTATTTTGAAAAATATAAAAATGTTGAATATTAGCACATGATAAAAATGTTTCACAATTCAACATGATTCAGAAAAGGTTGGAAAACTAGAATGATAAGTCATATTAGACAAAAAATATTTAAGGAAAACTCATCACCCAAGACCGGCCCCGCTAAACTGAGTCACTCTTGAACACAGTACATTGCTACTGAGCTACTGGCAACACGGACCCAAGTAACCGTTCCATACCTATTAATGTTATTTACCAGGGCACCTGCTTCAACTTAAAATATTCACACATGTGATTATCTAATTTTAAAATAAATTCCAATGTTCATCAGAAACTCATGAAATATAGTTGGACTGCTAAGATTACACTAGCAGTGGGGTGGTCAAGGGAGGTTATCAGACTAATCTCTTGTCCAGCCTCACGCACCAGAAAGTTCACATGGTAAATTTTCATAGAAGCTTATTTACCATGCCAAAAGCAACGAGCTTATAAAATTGATCCAAACTAAACCCACAAACTTTCATGTTCAACAAAATGTTCGAGAACTAAAGATTAATGGGCAATCTGTGAATTTCAGAATGAATTAATCACAGACAACATCAAATATCACTTCACAAGCAAACAAGACATTGCAGAGATAACAAAAGCTTATACATTTTTAATTGTTTTGACAATAATTAGATCCTTAAAATGACAATTCTGTAAAAAGAGTCAAACTTTAGAAGCACTTACAAATCTGAAGCAAGAGCATCACCTCCAGGGCTGTCAATTCGAATGATAGCAGCCTTGTATCTTTTTGACTCTACAGTAAATAAAAATTTAATCTTTAAAAAAAATCACATGAAAGTGAAACTGTACAAACTTTCTGCGCGTAAATGCACACATGTTCTTTTGGATATAAGTAATAATATGAACCAAAGAAGGAATTCAAAATTAGCCATTTTTTGGTACATAAACACTTAAGTGAGCTTTGTAAAATCCATGATTTTACTCCTGCAATTCGACAAGCAAACATTAATGTCCATTTATGGGATATGGTCCTGCTACATGTAAAATTTAGAGCTAGATTTTAGTTCATCTACACATCGTTGCATGCAAGGTAAATGAGGTATACCTCTGACACTACGAATCTTCTCGATGACTTGCTCTGCAATGATAACAGAACTTGGCGTACTTAAAGGACTCTGCACACGGCTAATGCTCCCAGAGGCTCTGATCACAGCTATTAGGTCTCTACCACCTGCTAATCCGAGAGTCCACTTTCTAACTTTGGAGTATTTCCTAGAATTACAAAGAAAGAAAAATCTTAATTAAATTTGACATGTATGCCATTTTAAATGTTACACTAGGCTTGTTGTGGCATAGATACAACAACAACAACAACACGCTAAGCCTTATATCCCATACTCTGGGGTTGGCAATATAAAAAACCAAATAAGAGAATCAGGTTAGGTTGCAGTTTGAATCTTCTTGCGCCACTCATTTCTGTCAACAAGCACCTTTTCATCTAATTCTTTAACCATCATATCATTTTTTATTACTTCCATTCATATCTTTCGGGGTCTACCTCTAGATGTTTTGATCTCTCCTAGATCTAGAGACTCAATTCTCCTCACCGGTGCACAACTAGGCCTACATTTCACAAGTCCAAACCATCGCAAACAGCCCTGTCTCATCTTCTTTCATCTTGTTGTGGCATAGATCATCTCCCAAAAAAAAAAATATATATATATATATATATATATACAATATTTAAGATAATATTTCTTAAATGAAGAGATCAGGAATGTAACAAACAAGTGTCTAAAGTTTTAAGTTACAAAACCAATAGATTAAACATGCAGCAATGCCACATACACATTTGGAAAAGAACAAAAAGGAAAAAGGAAAGATTATTGAAAACAGAATTTATAGTGCATTTCCTAATTTAAGTCTTAGGTCACCTAGATCATTGAACCAGTATTTTGAAGTTTTCATAGTATTCTAAAGTTCCAAAGTAACTATAACTTTTACAAGATCATACAGATGAACAGTAGCATAAAGCTCAACTTAATGTACCTCTTTAGGTACATATAATTAGGGGTTGAACCACACAATGAACATAAACCACCTCCTCCCCTCTTCCAAGGTGTTTGACACTAAAAGTCTAAAAACTTCAAGTTGAAAATTTAAAGATTCAACAGTTGGAATTCCCCTAAGGTACTGTAGTTGAAAATTTTTATCATCGTAAATTTGAAAAAAAAAAAAAAAAGAGAGATTTTAATGCCCTTATTATTATATGGAAAAAATAACAGGACCCACCTGTAATCAACCATATGAAGTTTTTTATCCTTTTGCACTCCAAGCCTCTCTTTTAACATTGAGATAACCTGCAGAAGTTACAAACATCAAATATTGTCATATAAATCTAGAGAGCTAGCTTAAAAATATAAACCCCTTACAACAGTTTTGACCACTCTCTGTGGCATTCTTCAATATATAGTACAAAGCAGGCATCAAAGGTTACTAAATGGTCAGAGAGGACTGTCTGAATCAATATGTATCTCAATAAACTTAAATAACAATAATGTTGGCTAAGTATTTACTATGTTTTAGAATCTTTTTTCTTCCTTTTCATTTCTTAATAAACAACTCGTAAAGAGATAAAGAGCAGAGCACTGTACGCATTACAATACTAAGATTTACTAAGTACAGCACCAGATGAAAAATTGCCATGTATTTTATTATCTCAAGTCTCAACTGTATACTGCATTGGCATCTAATGATTCTACCTCATCATCGTAATGTATATTTGTTATGAATCCCTCCTCTTTCAGCTTTTCTACTTTATAGACCCCTTCATTAATGAAGTTCTCAACATCTTCTCGTTTCTTTCCTGTATAAGATTTGCATGAGCCAAAAATTATCTTTAATATTTTGAGCTCAAAGCAAAAACATAAAATAGAAAAGGCACCTTTTGAAGAGGAAACTACATCCAACCAATTCCCATATATGTTATCAAGCAATGAAGTAAGCATCTCACAATTTTCTTCTGACATAGTCTTCCGTGTAAGTTGATCCCCAGCACTTTTATATTTACCAATCCTTTGCACCTGTGGTTCAATTCCTATTTTCTCAAAAACACCTGCAAATTGATTTAGAACACCAATTTATTGGTAAAATGCAAGCCACAACTATAGCATTGATAAATACTATTAAACATAGGTGACTAAAAGTTGAAAATTTGAAAGTATAATTATCAACCAAGGAGATAAATAAAAGAAAGTAAAGCTGCAGAAGGAGGATTATTTTATCTGTCTGCGAGATGTAAATGGACTATCTACTGGTTCCATGTAGAGCTTCTCGGTTCTGCCAGAGGGAATGGATATTGCAACTCTTTTTTAAAAAGGGCTGTCAACTAAAAATCAATTGAACTAAACCTTAGTTGCAAGTTAACTAGGGCCAGCCAACAGCATGAATGTTTCACAATCTGGTCCTAAACTATTATCTCCCACAGATGTTTATTTAAAAACAAAATCTCTATTGCTTTATCAACAAGACTGATTAGTAATTTTACCACCTCCAAACCCTACATGGCAGCGCAACCACAGGACTAATGACTACATAAAGGTAAATGGCTAAAAAATATAAGTGCAAAATTTACCTAATTGAACAATAACAAGATGTTCTTTTTGACAGTTTCTGTCCATGTTGTAAATGACAAAAGAAACAGTAGAAAGTGAGAGAGATAAATTTCTGTCAACTAACCTCCAAGGAATGATGCTTGAACAGTCAGACCGTACAAAGAAAAATAAGCACTTGGAGGGGCATAGATCTCTTCACATGTACAGGCAAGGTAAAACTCTTTCTCCTCACAGGCAGGGATATATGCAATGATGAATTTACCTATAAAATTCATAAAAGATTAAAATTCCAATTCAATTTTTTAACAATAAATAAGTAGTTAAATAAAATCTAACATATACATGGAAGAAATTTATTACTCACCAGATATCTACTATATGGTAATACTTGTTAATTTATGAGAAATATGCTTGAAAAAAGTTATCATAATCAAAATGATTAAAAAAATTAAACTGCAAGCAGACTTAAGATATGGGCATTATGTTTGAACAGAATAAATAAAGCACATTCACACCAGAAGTTACTCAGTATAACAGATGACTGATTACAACCGTTCCCCCCCCCCCCCCCCTCAAGCTTTTGTACCCAAAGGATCCATGTATGTATGCATGGGATCATGTATTTGTCAATTCAAAAATGCTTTGATGTTCTTTAACAGTGGTTATAGCCACAGCAGCTATTTTGCTTCTCAAACAATAAACTCACTGGTCTTCACTAGATTAGAATACCGAAGGTCCAACAATTCAATTTGTGTACGGATATCCAAAATTGAAGTAAGACAATAAACTCTGTGAAGCAACCTGATTTCTTAAAGTTCAAAATATGCCTCCGAATTTCTTCAACTTTTCCCCAGCCACAGTTCAGAGGTTCAATATGGAGATAGATACCAGAAATACGGGGATCATATGCAGCTTTTACGAAATTTTCGCAAATTTGTGGCAGAGATAGTCCTAAAGAGAAACGGCTCTTTAGCTGATCAGATATCTGAACATGGAAAGAAAAGAAATTTTCAAATCCAAAATGAATCAATCATATAAAAAGTTAAAGAATGCAGACAATTTCTCAGGAAAAAGAAGTTTAAATAATAGCATTAAGTTTCAGTTGAACTAATCCAGGTGCCATTTTTAACAACAATTAGATCTCCGACACCTCTCACTCTGGACAGCTGTGTGATCTTGAAATATCAAAAATCATACAGTTCTCTCTTACCTGAGGACCCGGTTTTCCCTTTTTCAGTTTGCAAAACATAATAATCTAAAGTAAGAAGAAATGTGGTGACAATATAAAAGAAAAATATATTTTGATTGTCAAACAATCAGAAATTTTTACAACGCAGTTAAACAAGATTAAAATCACTCAATTCTTTCGAAAAATGACAACCCATGTTCAAAAAAACATGGATATAATTCTTCTACAAACAAAATAATTCTTGCAAATTGTATTCGTTTCATCTTAAAGTAGTGTCTCCATTAACATCTGAAAAAACCCATTTCATGCTATCTCAAACCCATTTAATGGAGAAAAGGGGCCTAAAGAAAAAGTGAAATTGAAAAGAACCAAACCTGGCCGCGCAGTTTCATGGTCAAAACACTGCCTTTTCGAACCCTTTCCCAAGGGAAGGCAATAAGCATCTTAAACTTAACAACAAAACTCTTCCATCCACTCACCTTCTCATACTCCACTTCTCCACTAGGATACACTTCAGTTCCTAACTTTTCAACACTTTGACTCCCAAGTTTTTCATCTTTTTCTTTCTGGGTCTCGGTGGAAGATGAGGAATCATCGAAAGCTCGAGTGGAAAAAGAATAAGAGAATGAAAAGCTTTGTCTATGGAGGTGGGACTGGAGAGTTGAAAAAGAAATGGAAGGAAAGAGAGAAATAGGAGAGTAGTAGCATTTGGAAAGAGAGGGGATTGAAAGAGGTTTCGAGAGAATTGAATTGACAGTTCTGGGATGGATTTTAGGAGTGGAATGAGCAGTACGGAAGCGTAAAAGTTTAGACATTTTTCTTGGTTTCGATTGGGAGAGGAAGAGAGAGAACTGAAGACAGAGAGGAAATGGAGGACAAATAGACTGACAATGAAGAAAAAAGGCAAAGCTTCCTCCACGTAACACTTTTGGCAATGACACGTTGTCTTGTACATATGATTACGCGGCTTTCTTTTCTTCCTCTGCTAAAATTTTGACTAGATTGATAATTTAAAATATAATAGGATAATATTACGTGAATCTCATAAGAAAATTAAATAATTTAAAATTTTAATAATAATTATATATATACAAATTTTTAACATAGTGCATAACTCATGAATAATTTTTATTTTTAAAATTTTATTTTAATAAATAAATTATTTTATAATATGATAATAATGATAAATATTAATAATTTAATTTTAATTTTGATATACTAAAAATAAAATTTGATAACTTTTAATATAATTTTGATTTTGATAACTTTTGATAAAATTTTGATAATATTTGATACGATTTTGGTAACATTTCATATTAATTTGGTAACTTATAATATAATTTTAGTAACAATTGATTAAATTTTGATAATCTCTTGATATAATTTTAGTAATTAACCTTTTAGTAATTTATAATATACTTTTAGTAATCATTAATAAAATTTGTGTCATCATATATTTAACAATAAATTCTTATAAAGAAACACGAGTTTAATTCTAGTATAAGATAATTTTTTTATATAATAAAATAAAATTATTATTTCATTCAAATTTAAAATTTTTTCATTAAAATTTTTTATTAAATAGATTCATGGTAGGTTTATCTTAGTCTTTTAAGATAAAATTTCTAACTTTGTTTTTGCTACAAAAGTTCAATTCCTAAAAACTTTAAGTGTAAAAAAAATTCAACAACTGATAAATAAGTTTTCATTTATTTACTATTATATTATCAACGGTTTAATGCTAAGCTATCAATTATATATTACTAAATTATCAACAATTTACTACAAATAGCATTGATTTACTGCTAATTTATGAATAATTTACTTCTAAGTTATAAATAATTTATTACTAAATTATTGATGATTTGCTACTAAGTTATTAATGATTTGTTATAAAATTATAACAAATTTATTATTAATTTATTGATGATTTACTAAAAAATTATTAATGATTAACTAATTTACTACAAATTATCATTATTTTTTATGCTAAATTATCACTAATTTATAACTACATTATTAGTGATTTACTACTAAATAATCAAAAATTTACATCTAAATTATTAATGATTTACTATAATATTATTATACATATACTATTATGTTATCATTGATTTACTACTTAATTTTTGATTATTTACTATAAATTCATCACAAATTTATTGCTAAGTTAATCATGATTCATTATCACGTTATCGTTAATTTATATTCAATTATTTATAATTTACTATTAAGTTATTAATAATTAACTACTATTAAATTATATTAATTTACTTTTAAGTTTTTAATTATTAATTATTAAATTATTATTGATTTACTATTAAGTTATTCATAATTTACTACTAAGTTTATCAATTAATTATTACTAAATTGAAATTAATTTACTATTAAGTTATTATTATTTTATTATTATGTTACCATTTTTTCTATTAACCTATCATTAATGTACTAATATGTTACTATGCACTAATAACTATGAAACATTAAATTTAAAAACTCTACTAATAATATATGAGATAATTTGTTTATATGATAACGTTATTATTTTATTCAAGTTTAGAATTTTTTTTACTAATTTTCTTATCTAAAAGGTTCATCGTAAATTTATCATAACCCTCAAAATTAAAGTTGTAACTTCATTTTTACTAGTAATTAGGGTTAAATCCTCAGCAATTTCAAGTATAAAAAAGTTATCAATGACTGATAATAAAGTTATTAATTATTTACTATTAATTAAGTAATTAATAATTTACTACTAAATTATCAATGATTTACTTTTAATTTATGAGTGATTGACCATTAAGTTATGAATGATTTCTATTAAATTGTTAGTGATCTACCACTAAGTTACTAATGATTATTATAAATTTATAATTGATTTACTATTAATTTATCAATGATTTACTAAAAAGTTAGCAATGATTAACTAATTTATTATTAAATTATCATTGATTTTTAATTAAGTTATTAGTAATTTACTATCATGTTATTAGTGATTTACTATTAAGTTATTAACTTACTACTAAATTATTAATTATTTCCTATTATATTTTTATATTTACTATTATATTATCATTAATTTACTACTTAATTTTCTATTATTTATTACAAAATTATAACTTATTCTTAATTTTCTATTACTTATTATTTACCACTAAATTATATATGTTTCGCTACCAAGTTATTATAGATTTATATTAAATTATAAATGATTTATTATTAAGTTTCACTAATTAACTGTTATGATGATTTAGTACTAAGTTATATTAATTTTTTTAAAAATTTTCAATAATTAACTACTAAATTATCAATAATTACTACTAATTTATCATTGATTTACTACTAAACTATTTATGATTTATTACTATAAATTAATTACTATTAAACAGAAATTGATTTACTATTAAATTATTACTAATTTACTATTAAGTTATTATTGATTTATTACTAAATTATCAATAATTAAGTACTAAGTTATCATTTATTTTTTGTTAACTTATCATTGATTTAGTAATATGTAATTATGCATTTACAATTATATTATGATTGATTTATCATTAAGCTATTATACATATATTATTATATTTTTATTGATTTACTAAAAGTTATCAATTATTTATTACTAAATTATCATTTATTTATTGTTAAGTTATCACTAATTTACTACTAAATTATCAATGATTAGTATTAAATTATATTAATTACATTTAAATTTTCAATAATTAATTACTAAGTTATTAATTATCTAGTAATATGTTATCATTGATTTGTGTACATCAAAAAAAAAAAAAAAAACCACAATATATGCTAGAGATGTAATTTGTAAGATAAAGAAAGAAAGAAGAAAAAGTTTAAGTTTAAATGACTTGAAAAAGCATTAGTAATTGCTTTAAATTTACTATTTGTAGTTTAACACGTAATAATAAGTTAAAATCATAATGTTTTATACTAATGTAAGTATTAAAATTAAATTCAATAAATATAAACAATATATTAAGTTAATGTTTCGAAGATATTCTTCAAATTTTTTAGTTCATGGTAAAATAGTACATATTAAAACAAGTTTTATTGATAATTTGATTGAATTATTAATGTATGTATTCTCATATCTATTAGCGAAGTACAATTACATATAAAAAAGTAAAAATTTGAAGCGCTCTGTCACCAATAGAAATAATAAACTTTGCCTTATATTTTTATTTTCAAGTATACAATTTGGGGTAAAAGTTTTGTTGTGTATATGATAAAAGTGATGAGAACAACTTTACTAAATAATTTTTATAAAAATTAAACAAACAACAATTCTAAAAAGTATTAAATTAACAATAATCACCTTTACATTCTCCATAAAAAAATTTTCTACTAAATGAAAAAACTGTATATTTTTAATTGTTGCTTCATTTTTATTACCATCATTCTAAATCACTTTTTTGATATTTTGATGTCAATCAACTTCTTCATTTGAAAAGAGTAAAGAATATTTCATATTCTCCATAAAAAATTTTGTCTACTAAATGAAAAGATAATATATTTTTAATTGTTATTTATTCTTATTACTTTTTTTATATTTTGATGCCAATGAATGTAAAGCATAAACAATATTGTAAAAGCTTATAACACCCTAAATAACGTTTAACTTTATGTTATCTTCATGAATAAGTTTAAACTATGATCTTATCTCTTTCAAATTAAATGTTTGAATTGTTTTCCTCAACCCATATAGTAACAACTTGGTTAACAAATATATGATTATAAACTCATTTATCTAGATTAACATTTACACAATATGAATTTCAAAATCCTCAAAAAAGGAATATCTTATAATCTCTATAAAACTTGGGGATAAGAATTTTCTTCTAAAACTATCATTAATATCTCTATCCTCTATCATTTTTATACTTAAAATTTTATTATGTTATGCTCTCATTTTATTTTGAAGTGTATTATTAGTGCCATAAAAGTATAGTTAAAATAACATAATTAATCATTTCGAATTTGAAATAATTCAAAACTTAAATTGAGTATAAATAAATGTTTTACTCATTTTAAATTTCAGTTTAATTAAAAATAATATAATTCACATAATTATAAAAATGAACTAACTTGACTCGATTTCATTTAATTTTAAAAAGTCAACAATTTAGCAGTTGTTTAAAACCTGAAATGATTAAACATAACCAAAATTTGAATTTAAATAGTAACCTAATCAAAATCCAATATTATTTTTGGATAAGTAGTATTTCATTATCCAAGAAGCATGAATCCTGTTACAATGTTACAAGAAGCAGTAACCTGCTGCCCACTTACAGATCAAACACATCTTTACTTAACTCCCATTTCTTACATAATTCTTGATTTACATTATCAAAGGCAATACTTTTAAGTCCTACTAAGCGTAGTCTAACCACGTCTCTTGTATGTTGCAGTATCATCTCCCCTGATATTTCCTCAAACATACATATCCTCCTATTCCGTTCTACCTATATCTAATTTATATATGCCCCTATTCCAATTGAAATATTACAAAAATTAATGTTTTCCCTTTGAGCCTAGTTTTAGCCCAATGCACTTCATTGTCCCATCTAGCAACTTCTTTATGCAGGTTGCACTAACACAATACTTACCTCCAAACCTCCATTGAAAAATTATAGCTAAAAAACATATGATCCCTAATTTTTTTCTCCTACCTATATCCCTGATTTTTTTTCTCATTTGTCTAGATCCCCCATTTTGCCATCCTATCCTTGGTTGAAAACCTGTTTTGCATGACCATCCAAGCAATTATAACATGTTTGAGGATGTATGGCCTGCACCATACCAGCTTATGCCAATTGACTTTTATTTTCTTTGACCTTATTTCCTTTCATACACTGGCAGTTGAGTAAATAGGCCCTTTTATTATGC